TCCGGTCCCGTTGCCGCGGCCCCTGGCCGCTGGGACGCCGGGGTTCACGAACAGCACAGTTCATATTTCTTGTTCTAATGACTCCCATCCCTGTTCTACTTAATTAAAACCGGGAGAGGGGGGTTGGGGGAGATAATTAGGGAGGTCTCCAGCCGCTGCTTAATGAGCCAGTAATTAACCATCCGGGGAGGGGAGCTGGCCTCTGGCCAGCCTGAGGGAGTCCCGGCCTCCAGCCTCACCTGCCTGCCGCCCCCCCGCACCCCACCCAGACACCATCAGTCCTCAGTCCGGAGGGGAATCACATTTATTCGTGCAACCCAGACTAAAGATGGGCTCGGAGCAGCAGTGGGAGGCAGGGTGAGCGGGGCCTCCAGGCCCGTGGGGCCCGGCCTCCCTTTCTTCTCACTGGGAAGGAGGGTAGCGCTGCCTCATAGGTCGTAGCCTCGGGAGATCCGCCGTTTCTCGCGATCCTGAGCGCTCGATCACACCCTCCCTCCTGCTTGACCCCGGGAAATCAGACTCCCAACCTCTCCCGGACCTCCCTCGCGGGGTCCCTACAGCCTCAAGCTCTGGCACACGACTGAGGCGAGGGAGTTCAGTGACCGTCCTACCTGCCTTCCCAGGGTGTGAGGACTTCCTGTAACCCCCTCCAGTTCCCCGGGACTGTGCCGAGGGCCACGAAGGCTGCGATTTCTTCTGTGTCTTCCGTCCCTGCTACCCGTGCCAAGCAGGGCTTTGAGCCCCAGGAGGGAGGAGGGGCTGGCTGGGGCTAGAGTCTCAGCAGGTGTGTGTGGGTGGGTGGGATCTTTGCTCCTCCATTCGTCCCCCACCCTGAACTCTCAACAGCAACTCCAGGAGCTCCTGGCCCCCTGGGGGTAGGGGAGGCTCTGACCGCTGGGCTTCCATCCGCTGGCACTGAGGAGTGGAGGGACGGGAGAGCATTGGTAAGGTCTGTGGGGAGGAACCCTCGAGAGAGGAGCCAGGGTCGGCGTGGGGCAGATTCCGGGCCCCAAGAGGTCGGGAGGCCTGGGCCTGGCCCCCTGGGTCTTACCTGGTGACTGAGGATGGTGCTGTAGAGCTGTTCTCTGTCCTCCAGGGGCCGGGGCAGGGCTGCAGCTGGGCTTGGGGGGTTCTGGGGAGCGTGGAAGGTGGCCCTCTGCTCCTCTAGGCGACGGGACTGGGCCTCAGCCACCAGGTCCAGGAGGAGCTCAGTCTGCAGGGACAGCAGGGAGGCCGCACGGGGCCCCAGGGCTGGGGAGAGGAGGGAGGAGGGCTCAGAGGCTGGGGAAGCTGACAGAGCTGCGCAGTGGTGGTTTGAGGGGTTAGGGACTCTGGTCAGAGCTGAGGGGGTGTGGTGGGGAGCCTGGAGCAGGTGGGGAGCTGGGTAAGGATGTGGGCACCCCGATTAGGGTTCCCCCAGCGGGTACAGGTACCTGTGCTGCCGGTCCTTGGAGGAGGAGGGGATGGAGGAGCAGATCGCCAAGGCCGAGTGGTAGACCTCAGAGGGGGCCAGCCCTGCTCATCCTGAGTGCGTCCCTGAAACCGAAAAGTCTGTTCCAGTCAGTCAGGGGTGGGGTGGGCAGAGGTCCAGGCCAGCACCCTATTTCCTCTGTTTTTGCTCCTGCCTTAGTGTGCCCAAGCCCTTCCAAGTGCCCTGTGTCTGCTGTCACTAGTTCTGCACCGTGAAGGCCCACGCGTCCCTTCTCTAACCCCAACCCTCGCCACCCGGTGCCCAGCTCACCTGCTCACCATCCTCTTCCTGGAGTCTCTCTGTCTCCATCCCCGCGTGGGGAGAAACTGGTGGGGGAGGGGCGGCTGGGATTTGGGAGGAGGGCAGGAACCCTGGGTTCCTGAGGGAATGGGGGCTGGAAGGGGTGGGGGTGAGCTGGGGGCCTGGACGCCTGGGTACTGAGCAGGAAGCTGGGTTCCTGGTCAGCCCCCCCC